TCTGGCCGTGGTTTGTTTCTTGCCTCTTCTGGGTATATGCCCAGTAGGGGGATTGCTGGGTCGTATGGTAATTCAATTTCCATCTGTTTGAGAAAACCCCAAATCGATTTCCATAGTGGCTGTACATATCTACAGATCCACCAGCAGTGGAAGAAAGTTCCTGTCTTGCCACAGCCCCTCCAACACTTGTTGCTTTCTGATTTTTTTGAATTGGGCTGTCTTTGAGGGTGTTAGGTAGTATCTCATAGTTGTTTTGATTTGCATTTCTCTTATGGCTAATGATCGGGAGCTTTTTCTCATATGTTTATTGGCCATTTGGATTTCAGACTCTGTGAAACTTCTGTTCAGGTCCTTTTCCAACCTCCTCAGTGGGCAGTTAGTTTTTCTCTTATTGTGAGCTTGCAAGGTATTGTAGATTTTAGTAATAAGGCCTTTGTCTGATGTTTCATTGCTAAAGATGTTTTCCCAGTCGGTGGACTCTCTTATTACTCTCTTGGTGAATTCTTTCGATGTCCACAGTTGTCTTATCTTCAGTATGTCCCACTTGTCTATTTGTGACTCCTCTATGGTTGTATCCTTTCCTATTTCTGATCCCCTATGTATTCCCTGTGCCAAGGTTCTCAGGTTTGTCCCAATTCCCTCATTTATGGCCTAATTGTTTGGGGTTTTATGTCAAGGTCTGTGATCCACCTTGAGTTTATTCTTGTGCATGGAGTGAGGTAAGGGTCTTGTATCAATTTTCTACAGGTAGATATCCATTTTTTTCCAGCACCATTTGTTGAAGATGGCATCTGCTTCCCATTTAATATTTTTTTTGGCCCTTATCAAAGATCAGTTGTCTCTATGCTGATGTTTTTATTTCTGGGTCTTCAGCTCTTTTCCATTGGTGTGAGTATCTGTCATTGTGCCAATACCACACTGTTTTGACTACTGTGGCCATATAGTACATGCTAAAGTCAGGTAGAGCAAGCCCTCCCACTTTGTCCTTCTTCTTGAGGAGTTCTCTGCTAATTCTGGACTTCTTCCCCCTCCATATGAAGTTGGTAATCTATTTTTCCAATTCTTTGAAGAAGGATGGTGATATTCATATTGGGATAGCATTGAACTTATATAGTGCCTTGGGCAGAACTGATATCTTTATTATATTGAATCTGCCAATCCACGAGCATGGGATATTCTTCCATTTATTGAGGTCACTCTTGATTTCTTGAAGTAGTGTTTTATAATTTTCCTCATACAGATCTTTCATTTTTTTAGTCAGGTATATCCC